ATGGTTGCAAGCCGCATTGGAATGGTGGAGAATCATCACCTGTCTCGAGCTGTAACCTCGTCTTTTAAACCCTTGATCCGCTGTAGGCCATAGATGATCCGATTCACAGGGATCAGGCTCACATTTAACCAGATGAAGTTCCCCTTTCATGCCAATGTACCAAACAATATCCGGATACATATTGTATGTATTAGAACTTGTTGCTACACGTAAATAAAGCTGCTTCTATCTGCTGACCACTTGGAAAAAGGCTGTAGGATGCTGCAAGTAACTTGAGGCAATCGAGTAAAGACCTTGCTGATAGCAGTTGCTGCAATGGGCGCTGTTACGATTGGTTGTGGCAGAGAAGCGTGTGTTGTGTCAAGAGCGTTGTGTGTTGTAATAGAATGACAAGAAGGTTGTGTACACGCCATGAACCTGCCATTGAGTCAAAGACAATCGGATCAAGAGAGTTGTAGGATTCACATGATGGGTTGAAGCAGAGCAATCGTTCACAGGCGATGGTTGTATGCTTGAATGCACCAACAGTTGAGAATTGGGAGGAAGAGGGAAGAAGTGGGAGCTGAGTGAAGTGGCACGTGCAGGCTGCTGCATAAACGGGAGGATGATTGCGCGCATCTATCATGGATGGGTCCTTATATACATAATCCGTCCATGTTGGGTGGTCGTGGCAGGGGTCACACATGGTTGGTGGAGCTGTTGATATCATTGCGACATGAGCTTTATTGACTCACTACTGCTATTGCACCTATGTTAAGTCTATAGATTGACTGAGGGTTGTGTGCGGTATGAGATCACGTGAAGTGTAAGCCCAAATCCGTGCCTGTCAACTTGGATGCAGCCTTTGCATGATGAGCGCCCCTGGCAACAACAACAACTTGATCCACATGGCAACAGAGCTTATTTGGTTGCTATGGAGAAAGCGCCCACGGAGTATATCCTTATCGCCACATCCATGGTAGCCATGGTGATTGGTTCGTTGCTGCTTCTTCAATCGCTTCCACGAGTCGTCGTGCGCTGCTGTTGCATTGTTCACTCGTATCATCGGACGTGGATAAAAAGGTGACACTACCCATTGCTGCAGCATGAAGCGAATAGTCGATCTTGGTTAAGGACTTGAGTTACGACGACGTTCGCTCATTTGGTACCTAAAGTAAGAGTGAAGCGAGTCACCGCCAATGCATAACATTACCCACTGCAATTGTCCTTTGTTGATTATGTTTATTGCACGTTCAGCTAATGATAGATTTGATTTCTATTGCATAGTATCTATGTTATTCAATGTGGCACCTCGTCTTCCCGCCCAAAGCTCTTCTTGTTTTTGCTTTTGAAATGTGTTTTTTCTAATAAAGTCACCAAACAAAGTTAGACATCGCTTAAATGTAATGCATTGATATACGTACGTGACCAAACTCTCTGTAGTTGCTGTATCATTGATTGAAGTCCAACTCCCTCGCCAGACTTGTTTTTTTCGCCTCTGGGTCTTACATGAAGTCCAACTCCTTCGCCAGACTCTTTTCGCCCTCAGGGTCTTACATGAAGTCCAACTCCTTCGCCAGACTCTTTTCGCCCTTTCACTTGAGGTCTTACGCATGCTTCCACCAAACTAGTCAGTGTGCCTATAGATAACCATACATAAGTAAACCTTCTTTCAACGATGCTTGCAACGATACAATAATTACATGACAATGATATTGTGGTCTGCTCCATTGAGAGAGCCTTTCTTTGTATGATTGAACTTGCTTTGTCGCAGGAAGATCGAGTACCGTTGTTGTTGTTCGTATGATGTGGCTGCTGCCTTTTTTTGATATATTTTTGCTGACGTGCTTTTTTTGTGATACTGCTATGGAACAAAGGCTGGTTAGTTTCATGTATAGATACTACTTGACCACTCACATACCATTTTGCTTTTGGTTTTGTTGTATGATAGGATTGTGTTCTTGACATGGTGGTGGCGGCCCATATCAGATGTAGCTTGATAGCTGTGATAATTGCTCGATGCTTGTGATGATTGTTTCCAGTATAGAGCCCCTCCAATGACAATGCCTCTTCCAAAGTTGTGCCTCTCATTGCATTCGTGTGATTGCTTTGCGTGATATTCCTTGGTAAGACCAATTGCCGCCAAATTGTGCTCATGCGAATTGCACCCAAGAATGGATTGATTCATGAATAGGCTCAAAAGGAAGTGCCCATGCCAAATTGATAGTCTTGTCATCCACATCGGTTCCACCACCGATAAAAAGAAGAGAGGACTTGTGCCAACGTTGATTGTCTTGTCATCCACATCGGCTCCACCACCAATAAAATGAAGAGAGGACTTGTGCCAACGTTGATTGTCTTTGTCAACCGCCACCAATAGAATGAAGAGAGGTCTCATAGCAATAGAGAGGACTTGTGCCAACGTTGATAATCTTGTCATCCGCCACCAATAAAATGAAGAGAGGACTTGGGCCAACGTTGGTAATCTTGTCATCAGGATCGGTCCCACCACCAATAAAATGAAAAGAGGACTTGTGCCAACGTTGATAGTCTTGTCATCCGCCACCAAGAGAATGAAGAGAGGTCTCATGGCAATAGAGAGGCGTGTCCCAAATTGATAGTCCTTGTCATCCACATCGGCTGCACCACCGATAAAAAGAAAAGAGAACTCTACTCCCCAAAAAGAGCAGGAGCCCTCACTCTGGTTTCAGGAAGAACCCACAACACCAGAAACAGAACGTGACATCCCAGTACACCAGTGCATCTATAAAATGAAGGAATCAAGCATGCAGGATTTACACCCTTCGAGAGAATCCTACACGCAACGCCTACCACTTCCAGAGCGCTACCATAACGACCACGTACCATTCCAGGTCCCAAGTCCCAAACTACGATGCCCATGCAAGTCGATGTCTTGATGTTTTTTGTTTTTTCCAAGTACCCACTTCAAAGATGATTACCGCTTGTGCCCAAACACCATCATCCAAAACATGTAAGGGCGGTCAAACTATGTAGGGATGTATCACGGCATACACCATGACCCACCCCCACATAAAAAGACGAAGGATGATTAGTATAAATGGTATCCAAGCAATGTCACTGATTTTAACTTGCCTTTTCAAGTCCAATCCCATACCCCAGTGGGTAACATGATGATGATAATGAGTGAATCGCCCTTTGGCTCTTGATCCACCAGGAGAAAGACACCGCAAATGCTTTGTGACTTAATCGTAGAGAGGGAACAAGGGATTCCTGGAATGATACATCGTCGCCATGGCAACGCCCCTAAAGTGATAGACGTTGACGCGTAAGAAACTCCCGTCGGGATACCTTCATGCCGATCCTTCCGTATGTGCAAGCAACTGGCATAGCTGAAATGCACGCCTGAATGCGGGCTGGGGTTTTCCATCCACCAATCTATCTCGCAATTCTTGCTGAGAAACTCTATGGGCATCTATATACAATATGCATGTGAGTGATTAAAACCATGACACCTATAGCATGTAACTTACTATACGTCTTCATTGAAGACTGCTACATCATAGGGATCGAAATCGGTCCCTATGATCTCTGCCAAGATGTCGTCTCCGCCCATGACTAAAGGATCAAAAGTTAGTATCATATAAGGTCATTCATCCCAATGATAGTATACTTACATGAATCTGCTTGTTCAGCATATTCAACCAAAATTGATGATGGTGGTGCAGGCTCTGCTTCCGAAGAAGGCAATGTGGATGATGATGATGATGGTATTGATGATGGTATTGATGGTGGTATTGATGATGGTATTGACGGTGGTATAGGTGATGGTATTCTTGATGATGATGATGGTAATGCTGTTGATGATGATGGTGGTGGTGGTGGTGACACCAACTCCGGCCTTTTGACGCGCCTTTTTGGACATGCAATTGGCCTTGCTCTATCCTCTTGTTTCATGGCCGAGGATGTGGAAGCGGGTGGTGTTGGTGGTTGTGGTGGCGGTGATGATGGTATTGGTGGCCTTGGTGGTGATGGTGGCGGTCTTGGAAGTGGGGGTGGTGGATTCCCACTTTGTCTATGCCATCGAAGGCGACTTCGAGGCCGAATAACTGGCCTTCGGATCTCTAACCGTGATCGGTTATTGCTGCTACCTGTGCTGGATGCAACAGGTATTGCTGATGCCGCTGGTGCTGGTGATGCTGCTGCTGCGACTACTGCTGCTACTACTACTTCCGGTGTGGCCTCCGGATGGATGGTGATTGGTTGTGGCACCACTTGGGTATACATGATCGGTGGTTCTTGTGGTGGTGGTGGTGGTGGTGGTGGCAATGGCAATGGCAATGGCACTGATGGTGGCGATGGTGATGGTGATGCCATGGTTGTATCTTGCATGTCTTCAATGACTGGTGCTTGCTCTGAGGCATCTGCGTCCTCTATAAAAAAGAGAGATTTTTGGATTAATATGAGATCATGCCATACTTGGTATCACTTCCAAGATGTAATCCACTTACCATTCTCTACGATCTCTCGTAATTGTTCAGGAGTGCCAGGAAGAGCATCTGGCACATCCGTGTCCGGCTCATAGATATCGAGCTTCTCGAGAGCTTCACCTATAAAGTATAAGTCAGTTAGCGTCAATGTAATGTAGAGATAACGATCCTTTCATAAAGTATACTTACAAAGCTCGTCTAAGGATGATGATGCGGATGATGCAGATGATGATGAAGATGCCGATGCAGATGATGTGGATGCCAATGCAGATGATGATGATGATGATGATGATGATGATGATGCCAAAGATGCAGATGCAGGTGGTGATGATGACAATGCTAATGATGTTCTTGCTGTAGTAGTAGGCTTCTGTGACGGTAAGCCGTACACGTGCTGCATGGCTTTATGCATAGCCATTCCTTGAAGCAACTTTGGTGGTGACCGTGGTGTGCTTGTAACTTGCTTGGATGGCTTGAAAAGATCCACAGCTGATGATGTGTTAGTAACAGCATCACCCTCCAAGGCCGACATGTTGCCATGATGACGGGGCACTTGTGCTACTGGTCGTGTTGAGAACAACATACCAGGATACTCGCAGGCTTGCGCCTTGCATGGAACCACTGGAGCTACCCAGGGTTGACGATTAGCCATGACAACAGGGCTAGTAGGCACCTGTGTCGAATCACTCACCTTTTCCCTGGCCGCCCGCAACGGCACGCCGGCCGAGCAGTCAGCATTGCTGGCAATCGGGACGTGAGTCAACCGATTGTTGGGGCGCGAAAGCCCCCACCGAACCAAAGGAACAACGACACCGAGAAAGAAGGCAATTGGCATCACCCACATCAAATGTACTTGTTCGAAAACGTTCCATTTCAATGCGGCGAGCACGAGCACAAGAGGAAAGAAGCGAGCCGGTTCTTGATGAACTTGAGATGGCATTGCGGAAAGAGGAGGAACTATTGCCATGGAAACGAAGTCGACTTAAAACACTCCCGCCCACACAGTCCCATTTCACGCCCATTCGATCTCACTTTGCAAATGGCGCGTTACCAAGTCAATTTACGGGTAGAATCGTCTGTAGATCTCGATACAATAGTTTATTTAAATAAACAGTGTGATTTGGAAGCAAACGGGTGTGTCAAAAAATCATAGCAACCATAGTGCAGGTTGCCCTTCTTCCCTTACTTCCCTTGACACTTGGTGTGTTATTGGGTTTTATTAGGTGTAGAATGGTGCGTACGTCACGAAAATGTTCTTTATTATAACAAAGGAGGGCTGTTGGGATGCAAATGAGCGCGTCAAAGCAGTATAGCTACCTCACTATACAAAGGAAAACCTCTAGAATAGGGATATGAGACTTGGCACGTTCCCAGCAGATACTTCCAGATGCAGTGATCATCTTTGTTCTCACAAAGGTATTATGGTTGTGTATAAAAATATTGAGTAATCATTGATTCAATGATCTATCACCACATACCAGCAGTGTGTATGGGCTGAATAGGTAATGCAACATGGCCTGTGCTCCATGCTCCGTTTATATAAAAGGCACTTGTCACGAGCAAACAGCACTGTTGATCATAGCAATCACCTCCTCCACCAATCCCACAATATGGGATGGAATCATAAAGCCATCCATATCTCAATACTTGCATAGCCATATGAGACATCTTGCGGGCGAAAAAGAATGATCAGTGTACCTGAAAGGACTCACTACTGACAACGGCGGCTCAGCCAAAAGGTATCCTCAACAACGTCAATATCTCTCATCTCTCATCTCAACTTTCATACATTGAAATCAGAGTTTTGGATTCGCTCATACTTCTTGTTCTCACAATGGCATTGTATTTACTTGTAAACATTGTCCACACAAGCTATATAAGTGCTGTCCAATACGACCTCCTATAATATGAAACCATTATGCATTTCTCCACCAATAGCGTCGACGCTTCAAGTCCATTGTTACACAACCAAATCCTTCTGCATCTTTGGCTCTAATACGAATGAGGCAATTAACAATGAACAAAGACCGCTTTTCATATAGCATCACGCTTAAAACACAAAAGGATCTCGATACGATGATGTAAATGATCCCATCTCATTTTCTGACTTTCCTATTTCTATTCCCCCTTTCAATCCAAGTGATCCCCATTTAGCCCATATTATGAGCTCATCTAATACACCATTCAATGGAAAAGTCAAAGAGCCGCACACAATACAGTAAACGTCCTTCATTCCATGATTGCAAAATAGCTGCTGTACTCATTGGCTCCAGTACCATCCATGGCTGTAAAACACCTCCCTTCGCCAAAGGTATAAACCCTTTCGTTCATCCCATCCCATCCATCATCATCCTCAGTCATATCCACATCATACGATCCCATCCTTCCTTCTGTGTCAAGTAGCCAAGGAAGCATTCCAAGGTTTCTCATCACTGCACTTGATTGCACCCATCCATCATAACCAACATCTTGGTGAAAAGAATCCCTGCTGGTATGCTTCCTTTTCCATCCCATACTTGGCCATTTCCCTCGCTGCTTAACCAGATGAA